CAAAGTACTGACATTAAGTTCTGAACTGCAGTTCTCCTCCTTTTAAGGACATGACATTAGATCACATGTTAAATGACCTGTAAGAAAGAGGAGCTTGTCCCCTAGGGGTCAGGAGGAACAAAATCACCTCTAATAAGAATCTCTGATTCAGAGTTAAAATCTCACCATTTTGTCTCTCCTGAACCCTGGGAAAGGGTAAAAATGTATCTCCTTTATCCAAATTCATTTCACAATTACGGATTTTATAGTTTAACAACAAAGTTGTATAGATTAACAACAAAGTTTTATAATATTTTTTGTTCATATTAGAGTAGCTGGCTACAAAATAGCTCAATAATTTATAAAGGGAGATAGTTAAAATCTTTGTTCTAAATTTGGCCTGCTGATTCAGTCCAAGTAAGCTGCTTTCTCAACAATGCAGAAAGATTCAGACTGGGGACAAGGCTACAGCTTTGTAATCAGTGCTCCTTCAGGCATGTGCAATCTTGAGAGATGTGGACTTGAGTGGAGTGGCAGGTCGAGGAGAATAAAATCAAAGTCCGAAGCAACTGTCAGCTGAGAACTTTGTTCTAATGATAAACCCAGGCACTGTTTTCACTTACATCATTCCTAAGCCAATCCTACCAGCATTGAGTCCCTTATATGTATGCAGGGATGCGATGTGTTAGGTGGTCTAAGGAGGGCTACTCTGAGGTTTCTGTTCTCTAGAACAATCCCAGGGATCTGGCTTCTCTCCCTGACTTGCATTCTTGCTGAGAGACAGCTGCACAGAGGCCAGTGTAGGAAGTGTGGCTTGGCTCAGTGTAGTGGAGGTTGAGCTGAAGGAGGGGCTGCTCTACCTCTTGGGCCAACTGTGCTGGTGCCTCTTGGGAAAATGCATGCCTTCTGGGTTCCAGTCCCTCCATGCAAAATGTGAGAAATGATATTCGCCGCTGACACCCAACTGTGGAGACCACAGGCACTGACAGGCATATTTATAAAGTCTGCAAAGCCACCAAACCAAAG